ATATTGGGGACCTATCTAGACAAATCTATGTCTGGGGGCAAAGTGCTCACAAAGAACTCCTTGTGTAGAATTTGAGACAATTCCGTTGAAAAATGTGGCTAAAATCATCAAAATACCGAATATCGGGGGGTACCGTTATATGGGGGCTATATGATATCATGGACCTATATAGATAATTATCTTACAAGGTATAGAATACTCGCAAAGAACTCCTTGTGTGGAATTTCAGACAATACTATTGGAAAATGTGGCTAAAATCAACATACCGAATATCGGGTACCGTTGTATAGGGGTTTATACAATACGGACGGACAGGCTAAATTGTCTTAGAATTTTACGCTGATCAAGAATATATATACTTTGTTGGGTCTAAAATGATTATTTCAATGAGTTACAAACGGAATGACGAACTTAATATACCCTCCATTCTACAGGGTTGCCCATATTCAACGGACCTTTGGGCCCATTCCAATCGACGAGGCTTGTCCGCAGGCAACATTCTTTGCGTCAATTGAATTTTGTACGGGAACAAATGCAAATCAATGCGAATAATCCGTTGTAAAGTGGACCGAGCCATGCCCAACTGCTGAGAACGGCGTTTTTGGGATGTTCTTGGGGACCTCTCAACACTGGCTCGTACGGCAGCGATATTCTCGGCCGATCGCCTTGGTCGACTTTTATATGGCCTCTTCGGATTAGAAAGAGCCTTACCAGTCGAAAATTTTTCGTATAAACGCTTAATGGTGTTCTTAGAAGGCGCACTTCTCACATTTTTTAATGTTTTAAAACACGTTGAGTTTTCACAACTGACTTCTTCTGTTGAATGTAAATGCGGCGTGTATTGGTTCATGGTAAAAATCTGCTTGGACTGACGCCTCAAACGCGGTATGTCATTAAGCGATGTGAGATCTCTGTCAAAAGTTATGGCGTTGCCAGATGGGTCCGTCGAATATGGGCAACCCTGTATGTATGGTGGAGGGTATAAAAAACATGGATAGCATAGCCAGCGTTGGACATAGCCTAGAGGAGAAAATCTTAAGGCCCGGCTGAAGGCCGTCCATGTAAAAACGCTATAAATGGCAGACACATATTAAGTTCCAGTACAAAGATACCAATTTTCGTGTATTACCCCTGAACCAGTTCAAGCAACCCCATCATATGACTACTTGTAAAATAGGCATTTTCATATGCTTTCAAATGATACCCAGTAGAACCACCCGAAAACCCGGAGATTATGAAAAGTTGGCCGAAGATTCACTTTTTTCCATAGAAAAATTATTCAGCGTAGTAGATTATTTTTGGCCCAATGGGAATAACGCAAATAAGCAGAAGTGTCGATTTTGGATCCAGAATGTACCCAAAAAAGTCATAGTTTGGTGCGGTTTATGGGCTGGCGGCATCATTGGACCGTACTTCTTCAAATATGATGTGAATCGTAACGTTACTGAGTAGTGAGCGCTACTGTCAGATGATATCCAAAATTTTTGAGATACCGGCCGAAATGAAAAAAATTATGTCTTTTTTTTTAACATTCATCTTAAAAACGTCTTAGTCGCATCGACACAGCTGCTGTGACAATGATCTGTCAAACCAATTTTGGAATTGAAAATTTTGAATGAAAAATTATTGAAAATTTTAAAAATTTTGTAATACCTCGAAATATTGGTTTCCCACATAGGAAAGTATATATGGATCTTCCTAGCTCGCCGAGCTGAGTCGATTTGGCTATGTATGTCCGTCCGTCCGTCTGTCCGTCTGTCCATGTTAATTTGTAATCACGCTACAAGTCGCAATTATGGCCCGATCCTAACGAAATTTTGCACGAAGGTGGGGTTAGGGTCAGAATAGAAGATGATCGCCAAATGTTTAGGGGTTGAAATGGACCAAATACTGAAAAAATGTCGGATTTTGCAGTAGCTATACAGGTCGCAATTATAGACCAATCGACGCGGAATTTCGCATGTAGCTAGAGTTTAGGGCGGTGAAGAAGCCTACCAATTTGGGTGGTCATCGGATAATATTTAGCGGCTAAAATAGACCATATCTTTTGTGTTGAAAAAATTCAAAATTTTTCATTAAACCGCGAATATTTTAAATCCCGGCGAAATCACAAAGCCATGACAAGGTTACTTCTGATCTTTACATTGATGTTAACATCCAACAAATCGGATATATAGCAAAATATGTGCGATATAGATATAGAAGATATGCTTGAAAAATCTCTTATATGTCGAGAACGGCTGAACTGATTTCGACAGTTCTCATTAATTCAGAATGGCCTCTTGGCAGAAAAGAAAAAACGCCTAAAAAATCGCATAAAAATATCTCTCTAAAAATGAAAATATTGATTTTGTAAATTGTCTCATATTTTTTCAATTTTATCATATTTTTGGCATATTTTCATTTTGAATTAAACATTTGGTAATATTTCTACAGCTAACAAAACTAAGTAGTTAGGATATCAAGATATCATATACAGATCTCATTTATGGCCCGATCCTTACGAAATTTTGCATGGGGATAAGATGAGGGTCAGAATAGATGCCTACTCGCCATATATTTGGGGGTTGAAATGGACCAAAAATCTGCAAAATTGTCGGCAGATCGTAATTATCGCCCGATCCTTACGCACTTTTGATTGGGGGTTACCGGACATTGTTAAAGCCAAGCAGTTTTGGATGGCCATCCAAAAATATTCAATGTGTGAAATAGTTTGCCAACTTTTGTAGACAAAATACGAAAATGTCCATTCCAGTGACTTTTTGGAGAATTCACAAATACAGGAAAGACGCACTTCTGACTATTTCGTTAACGCTGATTTCGTTGAAGAATATAGTCAAATGTCTGTATCTCATATAGATGCGTTTAAGCCAAAAACCAATAATAAATGTTAATCTTTTGCCACTTCTGAGAGATTATAGGTCTTTGAGAAATATTGGTTCCAGATCTAGGAAGACCATTTACGTGCAACATCTACCAATAAATTGGAAATGAGCAAATTAGTTTAAGCTGCAATTATTTGAAAATTAGAGAACGAAACCTGATGGTTTTCTTTTATTATTTGTCATAATATTTTGTGGAATTCATTCGTATCTCGCCTATATAAACTGTATCGTTTATTATAGTGTTGTAGGGTATTCAACGGTCGGCCCCGCTCGACTGTAGCCTTTGCTTACTTGTTTTCACATATCAATGTCCCCATACTTCGATGCATCTACCTGTATTCTTCTGCCATGAATTGGCAGTTTAAATCCACTGAGCTTTCTATATCCGGTATATTGTAAACGTACCGGGTCCGCCAAATATATATTTTTATACCCTACACCACAAGGTGGTCAGGGTATTATGTCTTTGTGCATTTGTTTGTAACAGGCAATAGGAAACGAGATAGACCCATAGTTCCTTTTGATGATCTGCATAGAATCAAATTCTGAGTCGATTTATGCATGTCCGTCCGTCCGTCTGTCCATGTATTTTTGTAAACAAAGTACAGTTCGCATTTATTGTCCTATCCAGATAAAATTTTCCACAAATCATTTGTTTGACCCAAGGACGAACCCTATTGAAATTGGAGATAATCGGTCAAAATTTAGATATAGCTCCCATATATATCTTTGTCCGATTTGCCTTTTATTGTGCACCAAACGTGTAATATCAGTCCGAATAGTATGGAATTTTTCACGTACTATCAGAATGCACCTGAGTGTATGCCAAATTTGATCAAAATCGGTTCAGATATAGCAATAGCTCCCATATATATTGTTCATCCGATTTGTTATTTTTGTCCTCCTCAGCCGTACTATGCACTCTGTAACAACAATATTTGGGGAAATATATCAAATACAGCTCAAAAATACATTTGCTAAATTTTATCGAGATCGGCTCAGATTTGGATATAGCTCCCATATATAACTTCGTCCGATTTAACTTTGATTGTGCACCAAACGTCTAATATTTGCCCAAATGGGATGAAATTTGGCACTGATGACCGAATTGAGTCTAGAAGCTAGTATGTCAAATTTGGTTTAGATCGGTTCAGATATAGCTATAGCTCCCATATATACTGTTCATCCGATTTGTTATATTTGTTACCCACAGCCGTAATATGCACTCCATAACAACGATATTCAGGGAAATATATCAAATACAGCTCAGAAATATCTTTGCCAAATTTTATCGAGATCTGTTCCGATTTGAATATAGCTGCCATATATATTTTTATCCGATTTCAAATTAATTGTGCACCAAATGGGTAATATAAGTCCGAATTTAAAAGATACAAATGCTTCGGCATATTTAGTCCTTTGAATTTTAACTTATAATTATAATCATAGCGTGTATGATTGAATTCTCCCATAAAAACTTTTAATTGTTATGCGGAGCTCTACTAAATTAGCAAAGTGTTGTAGGGTATCATAAAGTCGGCCCAGCCCGACTTTCTTTACTGGTTTTTTTTGTAACCTAATGTTTTAACGTTACTTTTAATTTTTCTGAAACAAATTCGCTCATGGCCACTTCTTGCTCAATTCCGAAGAAAAATGGTCCAATTATGCCCCTAGACTACAGTGATTCGCAATGTATACGCGCTGGTTTTCGTTGACCTAAATGCCTTGTTACCATATAAAGCTGACGATGTCATCTTCTTCTAAGATTCGTACGCGTATACATAACCATGTCCATTCAGCGGAAGGAAAAACTAGTTATCTTTCACAAAAAAAGAGCTGTTTGAAAAAAAAAAGATAGATTGCGGGCCATTATCATTTTATTCCTTAAAATTATTTTGTAAAAATATACGTTTACCAACACTGAACGGATCGAACCAAACTTAACTAAACATATGAGCGCCATCTGTACAAAATCCCCCATTACTGTCTCACAGTTTTCATTTACAGCGAACAGCTGTTGTCATGCATTTGACATTTTGTCGAAATGTCAAAACAATTCTCAGTGAAGTGTCACAAAAAAGACCGAAAATACCAAAAATAGAATTATTTGATTGGAATTGCAACATTCATAAAGAAAAAACGCACACAAATAGAAGATACATAAATTAAATAACTCATTCACCCTCACATAAAATACAACAAAGATAAACCATTTGTTACTTTGTACAGTATTAGGGAGCAGCCCTGCAAAGGAATCTAACAACAAATGGCCACTACCACCAAATTCGCCACATGGCTAAATCAAAAACTAAAGGAACTGAATACAGACGAATCTGTATTTGGTAGCTATATTACGGGTATACTCGAAGACGATGATAGTCTCGAGGAGAAGAAGGAAGCATTGGAGGGTATTTTAAGTGAGATATTGGTAAGTTACTGTGGTGGAATTGTATTGTGTGGAAGGTGAATAATTTGAGATGATTTCTTTCTCCCTTTAGACTGATAACATTGCAGAATTGATTGATACAATACTGGACAAATGGAAAGCCTGTTCGAATAGCCAAGATGATGAGAAAAATAAACCGCCCAAAATAGATGTTGATGAACAGTTGGTCAAACTGTTGGAATCAACTAAAGTTCAAGCTGTCGTCAAGGAGCGACAATACACCGAGGAGGAGAAGAGAATACGTGAACAAATTTTAGCACAATATTCACAGGTAATTTTAATGTGATCTCAATGATATATTTTAAATTGTTAGACAGGTCACCTTTAAAGAAATGTTTATGTTTAATGATATCCCTACAATATTGAGAAAAATTAGAAAGCCGACGAATTTGCAAGGATGTGCTCACAATTAAAAGAACTTAAGGTTGCCGACATTCTAAAACCTCTTCTTTGCCATATATCTCCTTATATGGAACAGAGTCTCTATTAAATATTATGACGGATAACAATAAAGATATTAACAGACCATTGCAACATCCGATCAAGAATGTCAAAATAGGATAGGTCTAATGTCGAATACTTCAATCTTCAAGTGAATTAATTGAAATTTAAGATGTAACTTCACATCCTCTAACCTAACCTTATGGTACTCTTTTTATGTTATCTGAAGGCATTTCTAGAATATGTCAACTACCATCTTTAAAACACTTGTCATTTGTGTGGCGCTCTTTGGGCCAATTAAGTCTTTCACCTTGAGCAGGACAGAAGATACAAAGCATGAGAAAGATTTCTAAACATACATATTTTCGAGTCGCAGTTAGGATACAGCTGCTTTACTCGAAGACCATTTGTCCAATGGTTTGTAAAAAAGATAACCGTTAGAGTTGCTATCTCCTACAGAGCGACCTATGTCACCTGCCTTATAGCATGGAACATCTGCATAGTAGATGTTCAATCGTATCTTCTTCTTACCCCATCTTCAGGTCAGATATTTGATATTGCAGTGGTCACTCAATATGCCCACTACGATCGATAGATCAGACATACTAATTGATGAAAGCCTCCACCATAGTATGGAGGGTTTGTCACCTCGAAATATACATTTTAGACCCCATAAAGTATATGTATTCTTATTCTCCCTATATTCAGTATTTTGATGATTTTAGCTACATTATTCACCGATTTTTTCAAGTTTCGCATTTGAATATTGTAATGGCTTATGACAAAAGTTTCCTATGCAGGTCCACGTCGTCGTAAAGACCCTAATATAACAGCTACATTCAGTATTTTTAAGATTTCAACAGAATTTTTAACGGATTTTATTATTATTATTTTTTTTTTTTTGAAAATTTCCTACGCCGAAAGCGCATTGTCAAAGAATGACCAGTTCATTGAAAGTTAAGTCTACATCTTTCTAGAAAACACTAGGGATTTCCAAGACCTAAAAAATCATATGCTTCCTTTAATATCCGTTCGGAAAGAAAATCTCCTGGTCACATTAGTGTTTACCTCCTGTGTCAATTAACCTTATCTCCTGAAATACTTTTTTGAACATTCTAGTTGGGTTATGTCAACGAATCGAATGCAAAACCGGAAGAGAGAAACGGGTTCCGCAATTGCTTTCAATTTTGTACGAACAGGTTGTTTTAGTGAGAAATTTGTTCCGTACCTTTTCCTACACATATTTCGCGCGGCTGGGTCTCTTGACTACAGTTGGTACAGCAGCTTCCAAATTTGTAAAATAATTGTGTATCAATGTGGGGTTCAAATATAGTTGTGCGTCTTCTCAGAAGCCCCTAGGACTTTCGAAGACGTCAAATATGCTTCACCAGCCTTCATATCCGTTCGATGAGTATAATTAGTCCTTATGTGGCTGGTCTTCAAGGTCACCTTTTGAAATGCATTCTCAGAATTTTTTTTTGGTCTTTGTCATTGAAAAAGTCGGAGGAAATAAACGGGCTTTCTCTCTTGATTTCGGATTTTGTACGTATAGGTTTTGGGTATTGGGAACTTCGATGTGTACAAGTTCCTACATCGATAGACAATTAATTAGTCATTTGAATTTTGAAGCAATGTGGAGTTCAAGATAGGTGTCCCAGATACCCCTAGGGATTTCCATCAATAAGACATCAAAAATAATATGCCAGCTTTCATATCCGTTCGATGTGAACCATTGGGGAAATGAGGGCTTATCTCAAAAAAAAAAAAAAAAAAAAAAAAAAAACAGAAGTGAAAAAAAAACAGAAAAACAGAGTGATAAAACGGGGGTTCTCTTGATCTCGTAGCGTATAATTTCCTACAACGATTGCGCAAAGCTGGGTATAGGAGAGTGTCTTTCAACCATCGCTGATAACACAGCTTTGGAAACGACCCTTCCTTTACTTCTACAGGAAGTATCGGAGTACCGTGATTGTTGTGAATATATATGAGAAAAATTAAGATGGGTGTGGAAAATTCGATGTTTGGAAAAATTACTCCTCTTTGATTCAATTTCATTGCTAATAAAATCCTTTTCAAATGCATATATTTCCTTTCTTTCCTCCTAGACTGAAGTCTCCGACGATGACTACGAACCTGCTCAGTCCGATGAGGAAGGCGACAAACACGCCGGCGGAGGTGGTGGCGGTCTAACCGGCATCGAGCGCAACACAAATGCCCAGGATGTTCAAAATCTTATCAAAGAGAAACGGGAACAGGCCCGTCTAGAGGCAGCGGCAAAGAAACAAAAAGACAAAGAAGACCGTGAAAAACAAAAACAAATGCGCGAAGAAAAGAAGGAAAAAAGAAAAACGGTTAAGGGAGAACGCAGACGGTAGCATGTGGGCGCATAAGGTATTTGATACGACGTTTTTTTTGTACCAAATATATCCTCCATTCAACATTTGGTAGATTGTATTAAGAACATACGAAAAACAAAACAAAAACAAGAAATTAAGAAAAACAGAAATCAACAACAGAAATCTTTCTCCAAGAAACGAAAAAACTAAATATTTTTAATAAATTATTGATGTGTTACATTAAATGAAGCAATATGCAAACATAATGGCGTTTTAGAATTTTAAAAAGGAATGCTTATAGAAACGATCGAGTTTTGAACTCAGTATATGTGAAGGTATGTATGTATTTACATCAGAAAACATGAAAACAAAGAGTTTTTTAGATAAATTTCCAAAATTATTAGTTTAAGAATTAAAATTATGTATTTTACAGAAACAAAAAACAAGTTTGTGGAGGGATACTAAATCTATAATACAGGTTCTTACGTGGTCCTGCTTTGGAAAACGTTTAATTTGAAAAGAAGGACATTTTCGTAAGTTGCCTGGACTTTTGCTCGTACTGGTAATTCCTTTTGTATATAAATAACAAAGACAGAAGAAGCAATGTTGAAAAATGAAAATTGCTGAAAACAAATTGTCTTGTAAAAATTCAAGAGGCAAGTTCAAAAGAAGTCCATCAAAATTGCAACAAGAAAACTCAGCTTGTCTTAATCAGGACTTGGTAAAATTATTTCAGATGAAGATGTATATGGGCTCTCATACAGTGTTTTTATAACCTTCTGGCTAGAGAGGGTATATATCATTTGATACGGCCAGAAATGCCTCATCGAAATAAGGGTTATAGACCCTAGGTCTCTTTGGGTCAAATCCATTTCGGGACATTTGGAGTCGATCTAGCGATGACCCTCCGTCCGTCTGTCTGTTTGGCTGGTGTGCACGATAACTCACGCATGGTGTATCTGATTTAATAAAAATTTGGTACATCGTAATATTATTAAACTTAGATCCGGTTCGAAGATGGGTAATATCGATTTTCTCCTTCTGGTAACTCCCCCACAAAATGTTAACATCTTCAAAGAATGTAATTTACTGCACAGAAAGAGAAAGGATAATCCGATTTTGCACCAACTTTGCAAATACTAATATTTGTATCAGTGCTTGGTCATGTGTGAAAATGGAAAATATCGGTTCACTCTACCAAGTACCCCCCCCCCCCCCCCCCCATTTTTTGAACAATTATAACTCTTATAATATGTGATGTGTTTTATTGTCTTCAATTTACACCCAAGGTCTGGTGTGAAGATGGAATATATCGGTCTACTCCTTCTGGTACCTCCCCCACGAAGGGTCAAAATTTTGAGCAACCATGAAGCTCATAAAAAGCGACATTAACTTCCGATTCCACTCAGACTTGGTACATCTCAATATTTTCATCAACACAAGATCTGTTATAAAGATGGTAGAGATCGGGCCATTCCTTCTGGCGCCTCTCCCACAAAGGGTCAAAGTTTTCAATAAGCAACACGACCATAAAATCCGAAATAAGCATTCGGTTCTTTTCAAATGACACACATCACAACATTTTTATTAACCCAAGGTCTGGTGTGAAGATGGGATATATCTGTCCACTCCTTCTGGTACTTCCCCCACAAAGGTTCCAAATTTTGAATATCCATGAAGCTCATAAAAATAAATTATCATCCGATTCCAATCAGACTTGGTACATCTCCACATTTCTATCAACACAAGATCTGTTATAAAGATGGCAGAGATCGGATCATTTCTTCTGGTACCTCCCCCACAAAGGGTCAAAGTTTTGAATCACCAAAATGATCATAAAATCCGAAATCAGCACCCGGTTCTCTTCAAATTACATACATCACAATATTTTTTATTAACCCAAAGTCTGGTGTGAAGATAGAATATGGTGCACTCCTTCCGTTACCTCCCCACAAAGGTTTCAAATTTTGAATATCCATGAAGCTCATAAAACACGAAATTAAAATCCAATGTCATTCAGACTTGGCACATCTCCACATTTCTATTAACACAAGATTTGTTATAAAGATGGTAGAGATCGGACCATTCCTTCTGGTACGTCCCCCACATAGGGTTCAAGATTTTGAAAAACAAAACTTTCAAAGAAAGCGAAATAAGCTTCCCTCTCCCTTTAAATTTCACACATCGAAATATTTTTGATAACGCAAGATCTGTTGTGAAGATGATATATATCTGCCAACCCCTTCTGGATCAAAGGATCACCATTTACAATGTTTATATCTGTCATAACCACATAGTGGTAAGGGTATTATGTCTTTGTGCATTTGTTTGTAACATGGAGAAGGAAGCGATATAGACCCATATTTACTTTTGAGGATCTCCATAGAATCACTTTCTGAGTTGATTTATGCATGTCAGTCCGTCCGTCCGTCTGTGTATTTTTGTGAACAAAATGCAGGTCGCATTTATTATCCGATTGAGATGAAATTTTCCACAAATCATTTGTTTGGCCCAAGGACGAACCTTATTGAAATTGGAGATAATCTGTCAAAATTTAGATATAGCTCCCATATATATCTTCGTCCGATTTGCCTTTTATTGTGCACCAAACGTGAAATATCAGTCCGAATATTATGGAATTTTGCACGTACGATCAGATTGAACCTGAAAATAAGTATGCCAAATTTGATCGAAATCGGTTCAGATATAGCTATAGCTCCCATATATATTGTTCATCCGATTTGTTATTTTTGACCTCCGCAGCCGTAATATGCACTCTGTAACAACAATATTTGGGGAAATATATCAAATACAGCTCAGAAATACCTTTGCTAAATTTTATCGAGATCGGTTCGGATTTGGATATAGCTCCCATATTTAACTTCGTCCGATTTACCTTTGATTGTGCACCAAACGTCTAATATCTGCCCAAATTGAATCAAATTTGGCACTTACGACCGAATTGAGTCTAGAAGCTAGTATGTCAAATTTGGTAAAGATCGGTTCAGATATAGCTATAGCTCCTATATATACTGTTCATCCGATTTGTCATATTTGTTACCCACAGCCGTAATATGCACTCCGTAACAACGAAATTTTGGGAAATATATCAAATACAGCTCAGAAATATCTTTGCCAAATTTTTATCGAGATCGGTTCCGATTTAGATATAGCTCCCATATATATTTTTATCCGATTTCAAATTAATTGTGCACCAAATGGGCAATAAAAGTCCGAATTTGAAAGATACAAATGCTTCGGCATATTTAGTCCTTTGAACTTTAAATTATAATTATAATCATAGAGTGTATGATTTAATTCTCCCATAAAAACTTTTAATTGTTATGCGCAGCTCTACTAAGTTAGCAAAGTGGTGTAGGGTATCATAAAGTCGGAGAGGCCCGACTTTAAGACTTTCTTTGCTGGTTTTATATGTATTTTATGAAGTATGAACATAGAATACTTCGGTCTGCTTTATCTGTTACCTAACGCATATTTCCACATTTTCCAAAAAATTGCTCGTATCTCATATAAAGTATAGGAAGTAGTCGATATAGGTACGTTGTAATATTTTTATCAGTCCTAGGTCGGATACGAATTGGTCAATATAGGCCAACTGTTTCGGAACCTCCCCCATAAAGGGTCAACAGTTTGAATAAATATAACTCAAGGCTGGCGGCATACATCTTTCGGAAAAACCGACTGATACTATTTTACTTGTTAAATTGATTTACATTTTTGGTCATTAATATTTCAAATATTGATTTAAAATGTTTATTGAAAGTACCCAAAGAACATGTAATCCCCCGCCGAATTTTAGATTTCTGTGTCGTTTAAATCTTAATGTTGATCTAGTATCAGATATTCCATATTAATTAAAATTAAACAATTTAATCAATTCATAATCAATATTTTATTTTCTTAGAACTCTGGTTTTATGTTACACATTTCTTGGCATAATTATGACAACGTTTTGTGCAGCAGACATCATGGGAATAACATTTACTACCATTGGCCAGACATTGTGGTACGATTTCATTATCAATAACCGCCTTATCCTCAAATGCCTTCTCCTCAATCAAAGGTGTTGCCTGGATGTATTGCTGGAAGCTGCACAGGATCAGAGCAATCAAAGCAAAAATGTAGAAAAACTTCATGTTGTTTTTTTCTTCGTTATAAGTGGACTTTAAACTTGTTAACTGGTTCTACCAACTCGAAAGTTAATATTGTTGCAAATAACTTTTTACCAGCTATTTAAATAGCAAAACATTTCAGATATCTGCAGACAATCATAACAAGGGTATTTTTCACGAATTGTCTGCGAGCTTTAGTTCATTTTGCCGCTGTTGTTTTTTTTTTTTTTTGAGATAACAAATGTGTGTCACATAAATATGTGTTTAAAAAAAAAAAGAAATAATTATGGAAATGTATTTTACTAACCCAGAATGAAATGTCAACTGTTGATATTGGACTAAAAGACTTTTATGACATTGGATGTTTGTAAAAGCCTTGGAAGGTTTTTAACATTGGCTTTAATGTTGATCTTAATGAGGGCTTTATATACACTACCAAACAATTGGAAGTTGTATGAGCCGAATATCCCATTAAAAGGTAAATAAGATCAATCTATTGAATGTTTTCGCATAGACCACATATAACGGAACCTATCAATATTCGGTATTTGGATGATTTCAGCGACATTATTCAACGAAATCATTTCAAATTCCGCATTGAAAGATATAAATGGGTGCTTAAGTCTATGACAAAAAATTGCGTATGCAGGTCCACGTCTTCGAATAGCCCCTATATAACGATACCTCCCGAAATTCGGTATTTTGATGATTTAAACCACATTATACAACGGAATTGTTTCAAAATTTCATATTTGACGAAAAATTGTCTATGCAAGTCCACGTCTTCGTATAGCCGCCATATAACGGTACCTCCCGATTTTTGGTATTATGATGATTTTAGCGACATTATTAACCCGAATTGTTTCAAATTTGGTATTTGAAGTTCGGAATCGGTACTACAGCCAATGACCAAAAATTGCTTATGCTTTGTATAGCCCCCATATAACGGGTTTCATTTGGGCGTTTTTTTTCGACGAACCTTTTTTTTAATTTTTCATTTTTCTTCCAAATGGTTGAGGGTATTTAAAGTTCGGTCCCGCCGAACTTAGGTGCTTTTTTAATTGTTTTCTCTTCGGTTTTGGTTTTTATTGGATTGGAATCCGATTGGAATC